GGGGGGGGGGGGGGGAGGGGGGAAGGTATAATGCAGTCACGACAACAACAAAAGTCTGTGTTATTTAAGAAATGAGTGAGAGCTCGAGAGGTCCCGCAGATAACAGCTTAGAGCATAATATATAAGCATATAAGAGATGGGAAGTAGAGGTCATAATCCGGTTGGCAGCTGCTCGTTCTCCCAGACCAACTCCCGTTGCGCCATGGGGTGGTCTAGTGGACGACGCCACAAACCACCAGCACGGCTCCCATCTCCTCCGTCCGGCAAGACCAGGGGGCGAGGAACAAGGTTAATATTTTTTCCTTTGATCCGGACTCGAGGGGTCATCAACGTATGACTCGCGCCAAGAGCTGGGGTAGAGCCAGGCATGTCGGTTTGGCAGATGTGCCGGACTCGCAAGTTGGGGGAGGTGGCATCTGGTGGCGCGGCTATGCAGCTTGGACGAACATGGGCCAGTATGATAGCTTGTGGCAATGCAGCGGTGCACGGCCGCGTGCGGATAGAAAAGTTTAATTTCGCTGCTGGACCCGAAGAGCATGGCGTGTTGTGAGCCGGCGTGCAGGCTGGCTGCGCAGTAGCACCAAGGCCAATAGGGCCGGTCAATGTTTGTCGTCAGCTACTGCTCACCCTGGCTGTAGAAAAGAAATGCTAAGAGTGGAGTAAGGAGGGTGATGGAGAAGCTGTCGTGCCAAGATGACTGCGGCTTGTGGCAGAGGGGAAGTGAATGCTATGTGAGTGCCGCGGATATTTTGGGGTAGCATTTTTGACAGCATGGTCGATCCACTGGTGGCAAAGAGACCGCTGCGAGATGAGAGGATACAGTCTTCCCGCCAAGAATCATGGCTTCCTCGAGGAAAAAACCAGGTATTTTACCGCATTGTGGCTTCCGTCTGACTCCCGTCTTGTGTACGCCGCTCTTGGGAGGAGAGCACGTTAAACAAAAGGCAGTCCTTAGTCTGTCAGGTTAATACAAACTAATAATTCATGCATTGAGAAAAGATCAGAAGTTGGAGTTCCTTTCAAGCCCTGTCTGTCTGAGCTCGTCCTCTACAACTTAAATTAGATATCTATCTACCCCACAATCGGGACTCGACATTCGGCGCTAGTTCTACCCCGGATTTTAGTCTTCACACAATTCCCTTTGCCCGAACCAGCACCCAGCCAAGTTCATCTAGGGGATATGCTTCTTTTGTTTTTACTAGTTATCCTTTTACACGTGCGTGCTGGTATCTGATCTGCCGTGTTTTTTTCTTTCTACCAAGAAGAATGGGACCCATGTAGTGACTGGTGGCAGTTGTGGCTGTGACACTATGGATGGCTGTGGGTTTGATTCACGCAAGAAAACGGCAATTCCTCGGTATCAATCAACCGCCGAGGAAGTGTGTCACAGTAATGCATCAGTTGCCAAAAATAACACCACCCGTCTAGCAAACAACAAATTACGTCTTAATTTTAGAAGAGCGCAAAACACTATACTTTGTCACGCTGCTCGTCTACGATTGGAGTACATATATCCATACATAGCTCTGGCCAACCCTGGTCTGCCAAACTGAGACTGCGCCACGGGGAGAAAGCACTTTGCCTGCCTGGCATGGAGTAAGATCACCATGTATTCATTACTCAAAAAGCTAGGTTGATGCTGTACAATACTAATCCAAAATGTAAAAAAAAAAAAAAAAGTCAAGACAGCGCTTGCTGAAACAATGACTGCTTCCCACCAAACTCCAAGCCTAGAACGACCGTTCTAGTGATGCAATTACCGTTCTATCTGTCATTACTTCATCAGCCTGGTCAAGGCGTCACCGATAGGTTCGGTTCCCCTGCGTGGCCGTCAGCTAAGACGGTGACATCGGAGCCTACTTCAAGCGTTGGCGTGCCATTCCAGCCCTGGTAGACCTTCCACCACAGCGCGCTGCTGGTCTAATTCTTCCTGGCCGGCCTCTGTGACATCTACGACTGGCATGGTAGCGTCAGTATAGATCGCCAACATGCGCTGCTGCCTAGATAAAAGCCACCATCTTGGCGGATACTTCTGCTCTATGCACTGCGGTTCCACATAAAACATGAAAACTTCCAGTATATGAATCCAGACGCTGCGTCGAAGCGACATGTCCCGCTTCTTGTGGCGCCACAGCTTATACTCGCACATGAGGATGAAGTTGCCAATGACGTTGACGCCGCGCGATATGAGGTTGAAGATGATGAAGACGACCGTCGCCAGTTCGTACGAGTTCATCGCGCGGTACGGCATTCTCTCGCTATTCATACGAAAGAGTTGCAGGAGGGGTGCGAACCACGAGGCGAAGATGCATGCCTCCAGGATCAGCGTAAAATGGTATGTTCGCATAAAGCTGCCGCGCACGGCGCCGAGGCAAAAGTTCCACAAAGTTATGACGAAACCAGCCTATTTTCTTGATCAGTATGAAAAACGTAGAAGAAGAGGGGGGACCACGTACCACGACCACACCAACCACCCACATAGCCCGCGTTCTGAAATAGTGCCAGCTCAGGCCGCAAGCAATAATCGTAACCACCCACTGCGCCAGACCACATGTATTATATAGAACCACTACCTTAAAGAAGCGCTTAAAGCACCTTTTGTCGAATTCCGGCTGGGTGGACTGCGGCTCCGTGGCGGGACTTCCGCACCAGCGGCAGACAAAGCTGGTGGTGTTGTCAGCCATGAGATACTTTCTCCCGACATCGAAGCCCTCTGCGTCACGAACGCAGTCTTCACAGCGGCTGGAGAAAGGGAACCGCAGGTGGAACTTGTCAGTGCTGATGAGGCGTTTCTGGCCGCCCTGGCTTTCTTCAAGACAGATGTAGCAGGTATTACGGATGTGGTGGTCGAAATTTGGACTGAGAAGCGAACGAACCATCTGGGGGGTTATGCCGTTGCGGACGGAGCGGCAGGTCCGGCGCAGGCGTTCAAGGTCGCCGAAGTCGAGGTATGAGAGAACTTTAAGCTGCAGTTCGGGGGGGAGGGCAAGCAAGCGATCGAAAAGTTTGCTTCTCTGGCTATGCTGTAGCGAGGCAGTGTTGGCGGTGGACGCGGCCGTTGGGTTGCGAGGATGATCGCTGACGAGGTTGGTGAGCGAGGCGAGCGCGGCGAGCTTGCTGAGCTTGCGCGGCTTCGCAGTTGTGTCCTCGCCTTCGGCATTTCTTGCGCTGTTCTGCGTGGCATGAAGCGTCTCGGGCTGGCGAGGGAGTTGTTGAAGTTCGTCCTGCGGCTGTTCGGGCTCCGCTGCTGATGCGTCATTCGTATTGAGCTCCAGCTGCGGTGGTGATAGTGGTGACGTATCGTTACGGCTCTGTCGGCTGCCATCGGGGCGACGCCTAGCAACAGCCGCGCATATTTTACACAGATACTCCATGAAGGAGCGATCTCAAAGAACGGGGAATTTGCGTTTTCCTTGGCGGCTCCTCGCGCATCGACTCATGTCCAGGGCGAGCTCAACGAGCGTGGTTGGTTGAAATATGTAGGCTGTTGCTCGACGAGGCGGGTATGACAATCAGCCGGGGTAGGCTAGCTTGTGCGCATCAGTGACGGAGCACCGTGAGATAAAACAAAACACGTTTGTTTTGTATCAAGGTGCACTGGAGCCTCGAAGCTGCCAACAAAGCGTCGTCGAGCAGTAGGCGCGAGGTGGCACGAGTCACAGCACCTCAGCCGCCCGAGCTGGAAACGTCCTAGCCCCTCCGAGACTGCGTCGCCGCTCGAATGGCGCCACGTGACCGAGACACAGCCGACTTGCTTAATGCCGTTTTTTTCCTTTTTTTTCGGCGCAAGCCTCTTAGTTAGTAAAAATAATAAGTAAAATATAGATAAAGATAATAATAGCTAGTATTAAAAGAGTACTATTCTAGTAACTATTTAAAGTCTATATAAAAGGTCCTCTAGTAAATCCTAATAAAAACTATAATTAATAGTATTATTTATATAAAAATAAGTCCTTTATACTAGAGCTACTCTATATAATTCTAAAGTAGTTTTATACTAATTCTATATTTAGTCTATTTATTCTTTATTTATACTTCTTTATACTTTTAACTATTAATACTTTTAAAAGAAAAACTAAAGTCCTTAGAGGAAAACCTTTATTACTTATAGTTACTCTTTTAAAAGTAGTTTAGTTTTAAACTAGTTCTTACTTAATAATTTAGTAACTACTTTACTATTATTATTCCTTTTTAGTAACTAATTTAATTAATCTAGTTAATCTATTTTTAGTTAGTAAGTATATAAAGGTTATAATACTTTATTTTTTAGTTCTTTTTTCTTTATTTTCTTTAGTCTCTTTAATTTTATATATTTATCTTTATTACTATACTATTTTATCTTTATTCTATCTTTATTTTATCTTTAATTTTCTTTCTCTTCCCCCTTATTATAAGAGCTTAGACTATAGTCTAATTAGACTAATAGCCTAGTTATTATAAATACTATAAGACATATAGGTAGGGCTAAGTAAAGTAAGATAAAGGCTTATTATACTAGCCACTAAAAGGATAAGAGATTATATAATCTCTTTAGATTAAAGACTTAAGCTATTAAGCTATTAATCTAAGAATAAAATCTAAAGGATTAAAGGTTAAGCCTTCTAATCTAGAGTTATAATAAAGAGATAAATAAATACTCAAGGAGGAAGTATTCTTATAGTTAAGTAGTTTAGATCTCTACTAATTAATCTAAGTAATAATTCTACTATTAAGAGATATTTTTTAATATAACTTATATTATAATAACTACTTATATATACTTATATATTTAAACTAACTCTTTACTTAAGAAATAAACTAACTATAGATTAGGATTAAGCTACTATTATATTTTAATTAGTTCTATTTAATAAGTTACTTTTAAGATTATAAGTAGTTAACTTTTATAATATTTACTACTAATAGTAAGAATACTAATATAGTAATAGTAGTTACTAACTTAATAGCTATAGATACTAATCTAGTAATTATAATTACTAACTTAGTAGTTAAAATTACTAACTTTAATACTAAGGTTAAGTACTTTTATATATAGTTAAAGGAAATAAAACTTAAGGTTACTATACTATTTAAACTAAAAATAATAATACTAAAGTTTCTTAAATTTAATATATTTAATAGAATTAGAGGAGATATTTATACTTTTTTAACTTAAACTAAAGTTTATTTTAGGGTTAATAACTTTATTACTAAAGAGTCTATAAAGATCCTTTATATAAAAAACCTTCTTACTAGTAAAACTATAGAATAGTAGGAGCTAACTCTTAGGGACTATCTTAATAATAAGAAACTTAATAATAATACTATATATATCTTTATAAAATATAAGAATTTTAAAGAAATACTATAAACTATATTTAATAACCTAAATAAGATTTAAACTATAATATATAAACTTAAGTTATTAAAATAGACTAGATCTACTTAGTATTATATATAAGAGTTTAAGTGTATTATTACTTATATTAATTAAGATAATAATAGTTAAATAGAACTCTTTTATAATAAACTAAAGGAAAATATAAAGAATAAAATCACTAAAGAAAACTAACCTAATAACTTTAATATATTTATTAAAAAGATTATTAAAATTAATAATTAGTTATATACTAGGTAACTTAAATATAAAGGATAGAGTACTAAATAATAAAACCACTTATTACTACTATAGAGTAATACTAGTAGATATTATAAAGGATCTATAGCTTATAGAATACACTTAGGCCCTATAGAACTTAATATTATATATAAGAACTAAACTAAATCTAATAAAATATACTATAATTATAGAAAGCTAGGACACTTTATAAATAAGTATAGGGTACTTAAGAAATAATAGAAACTAATTAAAGAAAATTATAGACTAAATATAATAAACTATAGTAACCTACTAACTTATAATATTAGTATAGTTAATAATAAAGAATATTTCTTAGATACTAATTAATAAGTAGAATATAATATATACTTAGATAAAGATTAGGACTTTAGAACCTAACTACTACTAGATAAAGAGGAAGAACTTTATAATAAAGAAGATTTAATAGAACCTCCTATAGTATTCTTTATTAGAATATACTCTAAGGAAATAGAATATACTAAGTTAAAGAATTACTTTATACTTTAAAAGAATAAATAGTAAGAAATTATATTAATTAAAGACTATAAAATTATTAATCTAAAGATACTATAAGAAATAATCTAAATAGATTAAAACTAGTCTAATAATATTCTAAAGAACCTAGAATATTTAAAAACTATTATAATATAGTTATTATACTATTAAATTTTATAAGTATTATATATATATAGTTACTATAAAAAACACCTTTTAAAGAAAATTAAGTATAAGTAGTATTTAAACTTAAATATAAGAGAAGAACCCTACTATAAAGAGGAAATTTAAAAGTAAATTATAATAAATTAGAAAGAGTCTAATAGTATCCTCCTATAAAGACCTAATAAAAATAAATATATTA